ATTGATACTTTTGGCTATCAAAGATATATTCATCTGTAATGTATTCGCACAATGTTAAATACATGAGTATAGGGCTGTCAAAGTGGCATTTACATACATATTTTATTTTATTTTTACAATAGGCCTAAGCTTTACAATACACTTTACAAAACAAATTACAAATACTTTGCAAGTTTCCATTGGTTAAATTGTTAAAATTGTAAAAAAAAAAAAAAAAAAAAAAAAAAAAAAAAAAAAAAAAATTAGACCTGTCCCAACATTTAGATTAAGACCTAAATGTTGGGACAGTTGCTATATTATACAACTATTGTATAATATACAGTTGCTATATACCTAAATGTTGGGACAGTTGCCTGTGCACTTTGATGCTCAAAGAACATAATTACTCTTACGCCTATTATTTGGTGTTTTTTAGAACTGAATGAGTGATAAATATGGAAAATAATATGCATTGGTGCATATCGTTCTCTCTCTGATGGAAGAAGGGAAGGAATTCGATTAATTGGAACTCGATTAATAACCATAGATTAATTGTAGTTACAAGGGCTCTGTTGCTAACTGTTACGTGTGTACAGTATATGTGTTTGTTGGAAAAGGTGTGGTCAGCAAGTGTGGTCTTCAGCACAGCATGCCTGTGGGGATGTGCAGACAAAACATGATTAAAAGTGCTCCCCCTCCCACGTATGAAGCAGTGGAAGCTACACAGATCAGTTATTCCATGCAAGATAATCCATCAATGTCTGGTGGAATTCTCTCACAATATAGACAGGACAAAGCACTTTATGGTAAAGGAGCGATTGCTAATTGCTGATCTGAGACCAGTGCATACGGCACAGAATTCCATTTATAACGTCAACTGAAAGTAATACAATATAAGAACGTAAATTGGATGAGCTTTTCCTATCATAATAACAATCTTTAATTCAAACAGTGAAAATGTTATTGCCAAACGACACCACGCCAGCTAATGTTATTGAAATGAGAGTGATTACATTTTGAATCTCACAATAAACAGCTCTGACCAATTGAACATTAAAAAACGTAATCTCCACAACGATTTGGCTTACTCCATAACAATTTTACATGTTAATGTAAACATGTAATGCTATTCAGTTCCATACTGTATGATTCTTATGACTTAGTGAAGCCTATTTCTTATCGAAACTACAATGGAGCAGCTGCTCAAAGACTTGCAAATGAATTATTAAAACACCAATTTCTTCTGTCATGATAATAAATAAATGAATGAATGGATAAATGTGTGATGATGACAAACAGCACATTAAATGGGCATTTGGATGCTTAATCATTCCTCCAAATGATTTAGTCGATGTATAATTCACAAGAATGTCCTCCACTCTTCCTTTCTGGTGACTCCCCAGTAGCATTAACCGCCCTAGCTTGTTGATGAAGTACCACATTTCATCCAGATAGCTATACAAATGATGTTTCATCAACAAACTGATTCTACCCTTGCATAAACGCCTAGAAGACTATTTTAATTCCCAATGGAGTAGATCCGCAATTACCAAACACCCCAAATATACAGTGTGATACATTTTTCATTACACATTATGACACGATAACGACTGAAACTAAAGTACACTTACTTAGCATTTAGCATTAGCATTTTTTTGTGTTTTGTATGGTATGGTATGGTATGGTAAGTTGTGTAAAACCTGATGATCTTTTATGCAATAATATTTGACCTTGAATTAACATGGTTAATGTAATTTAATTAGTGATTTGAATTCAAATGTATTAAAGATTATTAAATTAAACATAGAATATTAAATAACAATTTGTTGTTATTATACATATTATTTATAGGCGCCCTCACTCAAAGACACCTTGACAATCATCATTAAACAGCAAATAATCATTATTACAGAATGGACAGACTGGATACCAGCATCACATAAATCCTGTCAAAAAGTTTGATCTCAAGACAAGATTTAAAAACAAGCAGACTTTTACTGCTTTGCACATCCAGGCAACACGTTTCATAAATAAGGAGCTGTAAGATTAAAGGCTCAGGACCCCATGGAAGTAGAGCAAATTCAAGGAACAAAAATTGTGAATGCAGAAGATGATAAAGTATGAGTACAAGTGTAGATATGAATAAGGTCAGATAAGTATGAAGGGCAAGATTATTGCATGCCATGTAATGGAAGTAAGAAGAAGGATTTTCAACTCAATACAATAGTTAACTGGGAGCCATTCTAAGTGTTGTAATATGGGAGTAATGTGTTCTGCAAATAATTTGAGCAGCTGAGTTCTTTACTAGCTGGAGTTTGTAGAGAAGCTTTGAAGGCAGGCCATAAAAAAGAGTGTAACAGTAATCAATTCGCAAAGTTACTAAAGCATGAACAAGAATCACAACAAAGGGAAACCCAAATTTTTAACCTGTTTCGAAACAGACACTGGCAAATTATCAATATTCACAGATGAACATTTAGAATTGACCAGATTGTTTTTTTTTTAAACCAACAAGAAGAATGTCAGTTTTACTGCCTTTAAGTTAAAGAAGATTTGATGTAAACTACTCTCAGCTAAACAATCTGAGAGGATAGATGGAAAAGTAGAGCTAGGTTTGGAGTACAGGTAAATTTGGGTGTCATCGGCATAGCAACTTTCCTAAAAATATTACCAAGGGTTAAAAGATAAATAATGAACAAAAGAGGACCCAAAAATGAGCCCTGCTGAACACCATTACACTGTAAAAAATATCTACTTGGTTCTACTTAAAATCATAAGTTAAGCAGCTGCCTCAAAATTTCAAGTAAAAACAAAATGGATTAATAAATTGTTTTAACTCATTATTTTGATTCTTGTTAAGCTGTGAATTGCCTTCTGCGAGTCAACATGACTTAACATTTATTGTTATTTCAACTTTGCTATGCAAGTTCAAAATAAAGTGAACTCATTAATGAGCATTCTGTTCACTTATCCTCATTAGTGGGTTGAACTTAGTAATTTCAATTAAGTAATTTATTTGAATTAGGGTATCAAGTTAAGATAATCTAAAAGAAGCCTTGTTTTAACTTAACAATTAATATAAAACACACAAATTTGAGTACAAAACATTTTTTTTTATTAAAACCAATGTTAAGCCAATAAAAGCTATACAAACACTTCATCTCAAACATTTTCAATAAGCAATCAACAACTTTTTAGGTACCAAATTTCAGTTGGGTGTGGGTAACATGAGGCTAAGATAAATAGAAGATCATCTTCTACAAGTGCGAGCACAAACCTCTGCTTGTCATATCCCCATTAGGTCACCCAAAGATGTACTAAACACTATTTATAGTCACCCAATAGAAAATACATTACTTTGAAAGCATTAGCTTTTTTTCCTTACACAACACGAAAATACTGAACAGGTTTTGAATGTTAACATTTAAAGGGATACTCCACTTTTTTTGGAAATAGGCTCATTTTACAACTCCCCCAGAGTTAAACAGTTGAGTTTCACCGTTTTCAAATCCATTCAGATGATTTTCTGATATTTAGAAGAATATCAGTAACCAGACAGTTTCTAGTCTCATTGACTTCCATAGTAGGAAAAAAATATACTATGAAAGTCAATTAGACCAGAAACTGTCTGGTTACTGATATTCTTCTAAAAATCAGAAAATTGTCTGAATGGATTCAAAAACGGTAAAACTCAACTGTTTAACTCTGGGGGAGTTGTGAAATGAGCCTATTTCCAAAAAAAGTGGAGTATCCATTTAAATAAACCTTTTTTCTAGTTCACTTTAAAAAAAAAAAAACTTTTGCTGATAATTTACTCACCCCCATGTCATCTAAGATGTCTATGTCTTCATTTATTTTCGGCTAAAGAAAGAAAGACAAGGACACCTTGGATGACATGGGGTTGAGTAAATTATCACCAAAAGTTTTTTTTTTTTAAGTGAACCAATCCTTTAACAATCTCACAGATCCAGCTGAATTATACCAAAAGCGGTCCTGAACCCCAAACACAAACAAACTAAAACTTCAGACTGCCAACTTCAGCTGGTTGTTTTCAAATATTTGAATCCTGAATACAGTATACTTAGTATATTATTTGAACAATATTCAGCATTAAATGTATTCAGTCCAACAAAAGCAAATGGATCAAGTCCAAAAAAAACAACAAAAAAAAAAAAAAACAGGGCTCCTCTCCTGTTTGCTTGCTTTTGCCTTCAACTTTGGCTTGCATTTCAACAGAAACAAATGGAAAAAGAAGAAAAAAAGAAAAGAATTCCAAACCATTCTCAGGTGTAGCATTGTTTACAACTTATACCTCAGGAGCTTGTTTCGAATGCCGTGGACTCTGGCAGAAGCTTGATCTGGTTTGATCTTCATCACTACCCTCTGAAGGAATTCAAAAGAATACTTCATGGCTTGTGGATACTCAAGGTTCACACAGTAGATAATCCCCAAAAGCATGGCAAAGCTCGATGGCACATCCTTGAAGTTGTGAAGCACAACAGTCTCCTCAACCACAACAGCCACATTGAAGATCTCATGTGGAAAGGCATCCTGGTTGTCACCTTCGTAGCCTATCAACAGGCCAAGTTGCATCCCCTCCATGGCTTCAGCAAGAGTCTCACCATGGGCCTTGAAAAGCAGAAAAAAAATACTGTGAATGTTTGGGTCAAGATGTACATGCTCTGCAAAGCTACTCAAGTCTCAGTGATCATAAACCTTGTTTTCAGGCAAATAAAATAGTCTTCTTGGGCTTTCAGTTGTGAGTGTGCATGTTTATAGGTGCAATGTTGGAAGGTTACTGCCAGGGTGAAAACTTCAGTGTCCTCTCAGATCTGGGGAAGTGTATGTTGCATTTGGTCCTCTGCCCATCACTATTCTACCCCTCCTTTCTCCCTGCATCATCACTATTTTGCTGTCACAGGACTTTACCAACACCTATGAGTGCATCTAATCCAATCTCTGTGTTAAAGGGTGTGTGTGTGTGTGTGTAAGTTTATATGTAGGTGGGTGGGTTCGTATATGGGCTGTTATGGATGACAGAAAAATGTCTTACATCACACATCCTGATGATGTCTGATGGCTCTTCTCTTAGGTAGTGTGGCAGACCCAGCAGAGCAGCAGTCCTTCTCCTTTCGTTTGTGTCCTACAATAAAAAACACTAAGCAGTGAGATTTTATTGCAAACATTTGGTGCCCAATTTTACAATTCTCAGCTGGTCTACTCACGTCTTTCTTCAGACAGTCCAAAATGGCTTTCAGTGCAGGCTTCTTTGCCGACTTTGTCGCAGCTTCGTACACTTCCAGCAGTCTTGGTGCCAGGTCATCAAGTCCGTCGAGAAACGATTCGAGAAGGTCTGTGCTTACGACTCTTTTGAACTCTGCCCGAACCTGAGGAGACAAAAAAAGTTAAGAAATTACAGGGAAAAAAATTCAAAGTCAAAATTTAGTAAGCTAAGGTTGTCTTGTTGTCAAAGACTGTCATCCACTCAGTAATACTAAACACAATCCTCTCACTTATCTGTATGTTCATTCATGCCACCTTTCGGACAAAAAAAAAAAAAGCTGAAATTGCCCTTTTACTTCCTGGAGAGAAGCTCATACATTGATATCCAGTCATTGGATTAAGTGATTAATCTTAGGCTGAGTGTTTTCTATTGTTATACCTGTCTCTCACAGAACATGGCCGGCCATCTAGCCATGACATCCCCAATGAGAGGTTGATCCCCTACGATCTCCTTTCTGCGCTTGGAGAACGTGTCAGACATCAGGTTATCTATCTGCTGGTGATCTAGGTCTTTTTTCAGCACTTCCACCTGCAGATTACACAAGCAGAAAGGACACATACTAAGACAAAATATTAGGCTTCACAGAAACAAAAGCAAAGTGTAGGTAGTTAGTATTATATAGGCAGGTATGTATGCAGTAATAAACAGGTATGATGTGCGTGTATGATGTACCTCCATCATCCTCCGCTTTTCTTCCATGTCTTCATCACTCAGTCCTTCAGGGGGATCTGGACAGTAGTGGACCTCGCCCTTCTTTGACTTCTTCATCCGTGGTCCCTTGGCTTCTTCTCCTTTTCTTTTGTTGACCCTCACCTCCGGGCATCCAGCTGCACTTAACTTTTGTCTATAGTTTCCGAGCTTAAACTTCAGGCTGTGGAACCAGCCGTACCAACCTTTTCCAGACCCTGGCTCTTTTAGACTGGGATGCTTCTCCACAAGCGCTTTGGCAACATTTTCATAGTGTTGCCTCTCAGGATAAGGACTAATCTTTGACATGCTGTCTGCAAGTGTGTCCAGGATATCAGTTTTCATACCTTTAGGAATCATCAGCACAGATCCATCTTTTGCATATCTTCCATTTGCTTCTTGCAGTGTGAGTTCAACATCATGCGAGAACTCTGGAATTGGGAAGGGCTCAGGCCAGAGCTGAGAGTCAGATTCCCCACTACTGAGAGATGGAAGGCTGGCTGTATCCAATGTGGAATCCGAGCAAGCTGCATCAGTTGTGATTCATAAAATTCAATTCATAAAACACCTGAAACACACAAAACAGAAGAAAAGTTTTAGCTGCTAAGTGATGTGAATTGCAAAAATGAACAATAGCACATTTCTAGTCAAGTCTAACAAATTGGATGTATGAATTGTTGCATTGCTCTTTACCACTAGCTAGCACAAACAATGTTCTGTAATAAGAAACAATAATGAGCTTGCAGCAAACGAGCGGCTGCTAATAATCTAAAATTATTTTGAAGCACTGGCCATGAACATACACAACCATTCAAAGGTTTGGGGTCAGTAAATTTTTTTAGGTTTTTAAAAGAATTATCTTCTGCTCACCAAAGGCTGCATTTATTTGATTAAAAATACAAACAAAACAGTAATACTGTGAAATATTATTCCAATTTAAAACAGCTGTTTTCTATTTCAATATATTTTAAACAGTAATTTATTCCTGTGATCAGAGCTGAATTTTGTGCATCATTAGTCTTCAGTGTCACATGGCGGTTTGACAAAATTAAGATCACGTTTTTTGTTGTTTTTTTCTCTCAAAATGAAGCCAGTTTTCCAGTTTATGACTTTTTTCCATGCATAATCTGGTTTTCAAAGGATTTTCAAGGGAATTACTGCAATAAATTGTCTTATTTTACATTCATTATTTAATATTGTAGAATAGAATAGCACCCAGTACAACCTAATCGTATAACCAAGCAAGAACGTTAATACAACGTTTATATTGAACGTTATAATAACCAAGAAATATAGTTAATACAATGTTTTAAAAAATGGACGTTTTGAATATTCTTAGAACATTCAGAAAAAACGTTTTAATAACTTAATGGGAACGTTACGAACCCTAAAATTGTTATCTGGGGAAGAGGAGAGATTCGCGATTGCACTGAACACGTTTTAAGTGCAGGATTCTTTAAGCGAGCCCAGAGAAAACTGACATTCTAACCAGAGCAGCGTGTATCTGAGAGCATGGGCGCGATATTCCACGTGCAAGCAGACAGATTCGCGCATTATATTAATTTACTTTCGCGCTAAAATAGTGCTCTCTCGACATTTAACAGGAAAATAACGCCATAGTTCTGCAGCATCCCCCTTACCTGTAACGTAACACCGTAGACAGTTACCAGAGCACAGATTTTTGATTTACCCCCTCCTCACCGTCGCTGCTCAGAAATGCAACATTGATAAAGGGTCCTTCTGAAATAGTGTCGCGCAGGGCAACGTAGGTTCCGAAAGTTGTGTAAATAAATACATCGGTATGGCGGTTTATTAAAAAATGAATATCATAAAAATATACACCGGCTTTCAGTATGAACCGGTATACCACCCAGCACTAACCTCCTTCAGAAATCATTGATGCTCAAGAAATATTCTTTTATTATTATCAAAGTTGTTCTAAAAATCTAAAAGATAGGTTCTGAAATCTAAAGCTTGTTTGACCACAGGAACAAATTTTAAAATGTATTTAAATTGAAAATAGCGGTAAATTGGAATAATATTTCACAATATCACTGTTTGTGTTGGTATTTTTAATCAAATATATGCGGCCTTGGTGAGCAGATGCTTCTTTTAAAAACTAACTGACCCCAAACTTTTGAACGGTAGCTAATGTTTGTGTGTTTGGCCTTGACATACGTTAACTTATATCAGGAATGGCAAATGACATCGCAGTTTTTACATATTAAAAGGTATCTAATGTTATTGGCTTCATCAACACATATTCTTAATAAATAAAAAACACGAACACTTACCAATAATGCACTTGTTCACTCCAACCGATTCGTCGTCTTGTCTGACAGAAATGAGGAACCTGGTGGTTGTTGAAGTTTGATTGCTCGGCGCGTAAAGTTCGTCTCGTGGCTTCGTCGGTAGTCCCTTCCCCCACCCCCACCCCCACACATGCGCAAAGACTTGTACCCCTCTCAAATTAAAATGATAAGTTCATTCAGGCACCTGGAATTTGTGATTCATTGAAGTAACTTATGAAACTAAATTGGAAGATTGAAAACTCAAACAACTGAGTTGAAATTTCATGACACATTATTTTATGTCTGATTGAATGACATATATAAGTTATCATAACTTTTTCATCAGATCATTTTTTACAGTGTACTAACATATAAAGGCTTTGATCTAAACTGCTTCAGCTGTACAAATTGAGTACCACCTGTAAAATAAGATAGAAACCAAGTCAAGGGGGTAACAATGATTCCAATAGACTCCAATCTGTCTAACAGTATCATACTAGATAGCATCAAATCCTGCACACAAATCGAGCAGAATAATTATAGATAAAAGTCCAGAGTCTTCAGCTGACAATAAGTCATTAGAGATCTTAAAGGTGCTCTAAGCGATGTCACACGTTTTTTAGGACCAAACATTTTTTGTCACATACAGCAAACATCTCCTCACTGTAAGCTAGCTGCCTGTCCCCTAAACACACTGTAAAAAAACATGGTCTATGCAGACAACCCAGGCTCCACAAATGGCAACAAAAACAAACTGCGGCAACTTGCTCCACGAAACATAACAAACTGTTCCAGCCAATAACTGACAAGAAGGCCCTGGGGGTGGGGTTTGGAGGGGTCAGTGCAGATGAGAAATACTTTAAACGTCAATAAGAAGTCACGTCACCCGACATTGCTTAGAGCACCTTTAACTAGTGCAGTCTCAACACTATGATATGGACGGAAATTGAAATTGCTCATACAAACTATTATCAGTACTCATACAAACTATTATACAAACGATTTCGCTACTACAATTCTTTCCAGTATTTTAGAAAGGAACGGTGGATTTGAAATGGAGTGAAAATGATCAAGTTACTTGAATCAGCCTCCGGTTTATTAAGTATAGGAGTTATCAAAGTGGTTTTGAGTGAAGACGGACCAATACCATAAACAAGCAAAGTGTATGTCAGTAATCAGAGAAGAGAGGGAAGGTAGGCAGGCTTTAACCAAATAATTTGGAATAGGATTCAACTGACAAGGATCCACTTCCTCCATGCATGGATGGTTGAAAGGAAAGAGTAATTTAGAGGTTGATCAGAACAAGAATTGATAAGACAACCATCCATCTACATTTTTTACAGACATTTGTTGATGATTTTTTTAAAAATACATAAAAGCTTAAAAGCTACATAATATATATATATATAGGTTTATCTATTCAAATGTGCTAAATGTGATTACTGTCTGTTAAATGGAAAATTCAGTTTTTTAATTTGCCCTAAAAGGCCTTTGTGTTTTTTAATTAAATGGCACTATTCTCTTAACATACCCTCCATAACTCATTTAAAGTTGTTGTAATTATTATACATTTCACTAAATGGGTGAAGCTCTGTATGTAAATCGCCTGTTTTGCATATAAAATGCCTAAACGTCAATATTGTAGTGCAATAAATTGCTCAAAGTGAGAGTGCTGGCATAGCGCCTGAGGCAATCTGGGAGTTATTAAGTGGCTGAATGTGCTGGAGCCATTTCAAACCCCCTAATTTAATGATGGCCAGAGTATGATGGGAATTTACATCCAGATAAAATGAAAAGAGAGACAAAGAGTAAGTGGGGGGATGGGGAGGCTTGGCAGAGAGGTCAGTGGTTTAGGGCAAGACTCACATATGAAGAATAAACCAGTGATACTATTGCAGCTGCCGCCTCAGCAATGCAAATGATCAGGATGATGGAGAAGAACTGTTTGCACAGAGCAGAAGAGAGTGAACATACAAGCAAAACTAACGTAAAAACATTATAATCATATGGCACTTTGAAATTAAGTAATACAATTATTGAGATTTACCATTATGAGAAGGCATTTGCTCTCTTTCTGAGCTCCGCAGCACCCAAGCATTCCGAGTAGAGTCATAACTGCTCCAATAGTGATGCTGAAGATTCCCACATTGACATGACTCAGGAACTCATCAGTAAAGGGTGGCAAAACTTCCATGAAGGCATCTGTATTCAAAGTCACCCATATCCCTACAGATGCCATACACATGCCTGCCAGCTGTCAAAAAAAAAAAAAAAAGATTCAAATTTTTACTGTAGGCCTGCAACACCATTGCATTTTAATTAGGGCTGTCAAACGATTAATCGAGATTAATCACATCCAAAATAAAATTTTGTGTTTACATAATATATGTGGGTGCACTGTGTATAATTATATATATATATATATATATATATATATATACACACACATGCTTGTATATATTTAAGAAATATTTTCATGTATATACAGTATACAGATTTATATATAATTTATATTATATATAAATATAAATATTTTATATATAAATAATATTTTTTAATGTGTGTGTATATACTGTATATATATATATATATATATATATATATATATATATATATATATATAAATAATTATACACAGTGCACCCACATATATTATGTAAACACAAACTTTTATTTTGGTTGCGATTAATCGTGATTAATCGTTTGTCAGTCCTAATTTTAATAGTTAACTTTGCAGTTGTTGTAAATGTTAAGTACTTCAATTTGGACGCTTTGATTCTTATGGAGCCCCAAAGGGGACGTGGCGGTGGAAAAAATTTAGGATGGGATTTTTTTTTTTTTTTCAAAATCTTTTGCATTCCCTCGCAAAAACTTTTGCGTTCCCTCACAAAAATATTTGCGTTCCCATGCAAAGTTATTTGCGTTCCCACAGAAAACCTGTTGGGAGCTCGGACAGACACTTCCTGTTTAATGTCTCTCTCCGTTTCATAGTGTTCGAACTTGGACTCAAATAACTCAAGGAGATCAGTGAAGTTGGCAATGTATTCACATAGGCTATTCAAACTTCCCGGATCAATATTCTTGAGCTAAACGTTGTTAAAACACAAACGACACATATTTACAATCACAGTATACTGTGATTGTAAGGTGTCGTGACAACTCAGGGCTGCCGCAGTGCATAGAGCTCATTGAGCCCACCACCACGTCCCTTTAGGGACTCTGTCGATTCTGAACAGACTGGCTGTGTTTAGTAAAAGTTAAGCAAATTGATGCTTTATATTTACTCTGGGGATGTGGAAATTATATTGCCCATGTGCTGAAAAAGACAGATTAAACCCATTACAGACACACACCAAAGCATATGCATTGTGGCTTACTAGCATTTTGGGCAGCGCTGAGTGGAGTTTTGGCACTGTAGAGGATGGGACAGAAACTTCATGCGTCTTTTTAAGTGTCAGCCACGCTTTTTGATGTTTACGATGGGATATCAAATACAGACCAGCGTAAGTGTCTTTTTGTTGTTCATCACAGTTCTAGTCTTCAAAATCCTCTCATAAACAGAGTAAATGGTTTATGAAATTATCTTAAAAGAAATGTTTTCCTATGAACTCTATCAAGTACAATAATGTGACTAGCTGCAGGTAACAACCTTTTGTATATTTCAAAACAAACTGAAATATGAAACTAAGTGACGTATATGTATTTTATTTCATGAAACATAGCCATACTTCATGCTTAAGTTGTTTTGCTTTAAGCTCTAGTTCACACAAAAGCTTTATGACCAGGCATGTATCAGTTATAGTCATTTAGACTTGGCTTCTTTATCGTTTGCATTTCCCCGTGACCTTTTATTCTCACCATTACATTGTCCGATAAGAGGTCCTGCATGGATTTCCCATTATTGCCATAGTGTACCTGAGTGATGTGTGTTCTAGAGGTAGGTCATTCAACAACGGCAATGGCTCAATAGACAACCAAAGGGTATCCTTAATGGCCACAAGCCTGCAGGATTAGGTGCTCAACTTCTCATTTATGTCACTTCCAAGACTCGTCGCAGACAGTCAGACACATAACCAGGTCTGTTTATGGCATGGATCTCCTGGTAATGATGGAAATCATTCAGTTTCAGTGTTAGGTGTCTTCTGATGTATCAAGAGCCAAAAGCAATGCCTTATTTAACTGTGAGACGTAAAATAGCTTTATTATCCGACACTGCCTATTTCAAGTGATGTCTCCAAGCAGAATGAAATCATCCAACCAGATATCAAAAGGTCTAAGCCCCAGAACACATTTGGGGGTGCTTTGGGTTAATGTGTGGACTGGTGTCAGTATGTTAATTCACATTTGGTGCCAAACCAAGTCAGAAACCTGATGTTCTGTCAGACTCAATCACGGCTGTCAGGGCCATTCACATCTAACTCAGCTGGCTGAAAGCTGAACATGAAACACCGAATACTGCTTCCTGTCAATGTTTATTTTTTCCGCATGAGAATAATTTTCATTTTTATCTTTTCCCATTTGCGCTCATGCTTTGAGAATTGTTTGAATGTTTTAGCAGTTTAATTGTCAGCTTTTGATAATGGGCACATCTCTAAGCAAATAGAATGTGACAGGCATATTACCTTCAACTTCTTTTCTTCAAAGTTTATTTCTTTCTGCTATAATTATTACTGCTGTTTTTATTTTTTTTAAATTTTTTTTTTAAGTTTTACCTTTCATTAAACATATTTAGATATATCAAAATCGTCTTCCATTGCGATTTCCTGTATACCTAAATATGTTTAGATCTTCACAGTGAAAGGTAAAAGTTCTGAAATCTCTGTGTAAACAATGAATGACGTAGACGCGCAAGCGATCACTTCCGCCGCATGCGCAGACCGAAGCGCCCGTGCCGTCAGATCAGTTGGACATGGCTTTGGTTACACAAGGTAAAAACGATATAAATACTGTTAGTTTTTTCAAACAAACCGCTCGTTTCGTGTCTTAGGCCATCAATGTGTACTTACATTTACGAGCCATTAAATCATGTTTAATTTTGACTTCTCTGTGCATGCTCTTTGAGGTGAACCGAGGGAGGACCCCCTAAACCTCCATTATATGACTGATAGACAATAACGGTTTGACCGAACAATATCAAAATTGAAAATATTGTGTAAACAAAGTAGGGCTGCAACTAACGATTATTTTGATAATCGATTAATCGGGCGATTATTTTTTCGATTAATCGATTAATCGGATAAAAAAATTATTTCATTTTTTTGTTTATTATAACTAAATAAAACCCTAAAACCCTAAAAACCACACTCTTTTGTGTGTTAAACAATCTTCTTAATACAGACAACTTCATTATATAGAAAAACAACAAATAAAAAAAAAATATATGACTATAACCTATGACAAAAATGCTATTGTAAACTAGATTAGTGGATAACTCAGAAAAACTTAGCCTAGAAAAATCACAAGTGCACAATAATTTTATAAAATCTGAACATTTAGTGAAAAAAACATTCCTTAGTGGGGAAAAAATAAGAGACAATAAGTGTAGCACTATCTCTGGTAAAACGTTACACATTGCTCTTTGTATTGTTGTTATACATTCATGAAAAACATCGTAAAAATCAGATGCACAGCTGTTTAGTAAGGAAGCAATATTGACTGTGTATTATACAGTATCTTTGCAATAGTTTATTCAGCCTTTTCTTTTAACAGTTTTAAATTTCATTTAGGCTACTGTGCACGTGAAGAACAATTATAGTGCGCCGAGTCTACTCTAGTGTTGTGATCTAACAGACACTCAGTAGAAAGTGATTTAGTTACAGCAATAAAAGTCTAGCAAGATAGTCATTATATTACGAAACCATAGACCTTTATCTACGGATCAATTATAATAATAACATTGAATCATCTTGGAAAGAGTTTCATCATGTTAACTGTTGTAACGCGACGCGCTGTTTGAACACCGAATAGAGAATGACTGACAGCCGCAGTGGAGGGAAAAGCTTACGTTAACTTGAATTTAATTACTTAAATATACATTTCTATCTCACATTATACTACAGTATGGCTTCATAAAGTATACACGATTAACGCAGGTCACCTATTTTGGTTTCAAAACGGCGAATTTGCCGAAAGGTGAATGATTTTCGTGTATGCTGCATATTGATAGCGGTTTCCTGATGCCCGCAAATTAGTTCAAACTCACGGAATCAAGAATGCGCGTGCGAGACAGAAGATAATGTGCTTGTGCTCCAAACCGTCCGTGTTGCGCACAGACCGGCGAGGGAGAGAGACTGCGTGTGTGCCTCATGAAGCGCACGTAAGAAGCGCATGTAGCATGTAAACAATCCCCGTGACGTAATCAGACCAACTAATCGATAATGACATTCGTTGACAACGATTTTCATAATCGATTATAATCGATTTTATCGATTAGTTGTTGCAGCCCTAAAACAAAGACACCTACATCTTGGATGCCCTTGAGGTAAGCTAAAACATGTCAAAAAATAATTTCAAAGTGAACTATCCTATCCAGGAACTGTCCAGGAAGTGTGACATAGGCCTATTGATATCATATCATTGATTTTATTGATAGCTATCCTATCATGTAACACTAAAGTGAAAATACCACCAAGATGGATTTGAAATGGATAGCAATCTGAACACAACTCTATAGGGGTTTGTTTCAGACTCAACTTAGCCAAAATGTAAAAACATTTAGTGGTTGTTCAGGCTGCATACATAAAGCCACAACCCACAGGGTGCAAATATAGCATTCAGCTCTAAACCTCCAAAAACTTGGACACCTGCATAATTTGGCATTCTGATTCATATTTAGAAGAAAGCCCTTAATGAGGTAAAATATGGTTATCATCCACCACACAAAATCGGCATTATTTGCAGCATATTTGACAGTACAGGCCAGTTCACATCAAAAACGATAACATTCTGTTTATAATAAACACCCGCTGAAGTTATATCATCAGCTGTATTAAATACCCAAGCATTAGAGGAATGGATTCCAATTGGCTGTCAATGTTTTTTTTTATTGTTCATTAGCTGAAAAAAAAGTTCTGAAAATGATACAGTTCCTCTTTGTCGTTATCGTTATAACTGTGATGTGGACTTATATTTAGACCATAGACTTAGACCTTATAGTTATCATCATAGTTATTGTCCTTTGTGTGAACGGGCCTTACATTTTAAATGCAGGAAATAAACATTTCACATAATGCCAATGCGCACACAGCATTACTATCCATGAATGTACTCCATAATCACACATAGTAAAACAAAGCAAGATTCTAAATTGTGAAAAATACTTTTCAATAATATACTTTATACTTTTTAAAAATACTTTTCAATATCTATTGTTGATGTTGAACAACCATTGTCTTTGAATAACTATGTCAGACTCAAGACATAGTTAATTGACTGACAAAAAGCAAAAAAAAAATCTCTTTTTTTCTCTTTTAAATTTCTCTTTTTTTCTGCTTTTAACATACAGTAGACATAGAATTCATTATTTGCAGAAGACCTTGACCTCTTTTTCGGTATTATTATGTAAGTCTTGACAACTATCAAGACCAGATAGAAACCAACAGTATGCTGTTCAAGCAATACTTTGAATGAAATATTGCACACTATTATGTACACTTTCATTTGTTTCAGTAGCTACAGCCTTAAAAACCTCCTGTCCCACCCAGCAACCCAGCATACCCATCATTTCAGGCACTTGCAGGCTTTAATTCTCAAACAAAGTGGCTGTGAACAATAATGAGATGAAAATTGTTGCATGAGCAAGTGTGGCTGCCTTACATTCACACTTTGATTGTGATCATCAAAACTTCACCATGGAGCAATGAAACATTTCCTAATGGATTCGTGTTATCGGTTTGCATTAGTTCAATTTATGTGTGTACCGTGCACATTTGTTGTAAAGAGAAGAGTATAAATTATTTATTGCTCATTCGGAGGCAGGCTGAATCTATTTCATTCTTTATACCCCACATAAAAGTCTCAGTCAATGAATAAAAAAATGCAATTATTCTTCTTAACACCCCTCTACCCGCACTCAAATGTAAACATTTAATGAGAAAATAAAGCATACTTACGCAGATAAGCAAGTTGAACAAAACCATCACAACTTTGACAAATGTGAAGCAGCCCATTTTATTCTGTAATGAAGCAAAACACATAAATAAGACTCAGAGCTGCATTTCATAGTTTGATTGTTTTCACACAGAGAGAGAGAGACGCGACATGTTTGTAAGACTTCTTTTCACTTAAATCCATTTAAATCCAGTTTTGTTTAGCTTATGTAAAAGCAACTCACCTGTTTGGATCCAAAGTGCACTAATAGATGTAAACACAGTTGAGTGAGTTGTTAAGTGAGGAATAGACAGAGATGGAAAAGAGACAGAATGAGAGGGAAAGAGTGGAAGAGACTTGAACAGGTGAGATGGGTGTGGTTTGATGATAAAATAGCTGGTTAGAATGGCTTGAATGTGGCTACAGTGTCATTTGACTTGCATTGCCCTGCAGTCAGAGTGGTTTCCAATGTGGATTATCTCCATGATGTCACTCAAATGCATAAGGTTCAAAAAATCCCACGCTCATAATAATCATTATTTTAGAATCATTTTACCGTTTTCCTTGGTTTCGAATGGTGATGATTAGCTAGTCATTTGAAATACTCATGACGCCAATTCAAAAATAAAATAGTTCCAAGGTCAAAGAGTATCCACAGAGAAAATGTCAAAGAGAAAGTAGTACCAAAAACATGGTAAGTCCTGTCTTTAAGATTGACTTTGATCACTACCTATCAGTTGTTAATTTCCTTTGTGTACTTTTTTATGTGTGGTTTCCTTTGTTCTTTTGCACCAAATGAAATGTATCTGCCAATAGAGGGCAGTATTGCAGTGCAAAGGCTCTCAGCTTAGATGGCTTCACTGGTTTACTATTTTGGTGTCTTAGATACTTGGAGATGATTGATGGTCCCTCAGAGGACGAAATGTCTTTGTCCAGTTTTATCCATAGGAAAACAAAACAAAGAGATATAAAATCTCCTCAGCAAATGATTTTGAAGATTTGCTGAAAGAACCTTATATATATAGTTATTTAAGGAATATATGTATATTATATTTTATGTATATCTCATCTGTTATTCCTTTTTCTCTACCTACATACTTTCCTCTACCTTCTCTCATTCTCTTTTCTACTTTTCCTACTCCTAGTAGTATTTTTTTAAAATATAAAATCATCTTTGTCCTGCAAATTGTTACATCTTTCACAACTCTGTTTGCTCTAAACTTTTTTTCCTTTACCTTCACTCAATCTCATTTCCACTTATTCGCCTTCCGATTTTCGTGTGACCAGCATTATTTGACATTCCTCACACATCTAAGACTGGGCCCTGCAGGCGAGAGAATCACATGAAGAAAAAAAAAAAATTGATAGATTGCCTGCTGCCACCTTGCCAGAGTTAAACACATATCAGCAGCAGCCCTCTTCGTAATGTCACTTTAATAGTCCTATTGTGAGTTATGACAATCTCGCCAATCCCATCATTAACCCATCCAGTCCTTAATCTCACCAAGAAGAACACCTGTCAGACATCATTAGAAATTAAAGCAGTTAATAACCACCAGGCATAGTCCTGCATTTTGGGGAGGGGGAGAAATAAAATAGGTGGACACTTTTTCATCATAAGTAAGGCAAGTGTCCCAAACGAAAGAAAATTCAGCTATATCAGCGGAGCCAGTAAAAAACACGGACAGCCGTAATGAGGTTGGCTAGATTAAGTATTATCTGTTCCCTTCAGGGCAGGAACTCAGGTGATGCATGGTTGGTTTCTCATAGTTGCTGTGATGATCCAGAGGGGAATTTCGTCATTATGGATCTCCTCCCAGGACGGGACCCTTGTCATAGGCTGGCCAATAAAATGACCTGCGAACCAGCAAAACAAGCAGCTCTGTTCTAATGAGGAAGTATAAGACCACAGCGACAAATAGTGTTACCATAATGGCTTAGAATAAGAATCTCAGGACCATTTTATTTGATTAGACAAAGCTAAGATCTGGCAAGTGAAAACTCTGATTTATTATATCATTAACAACAAAAACACTGCGGTTCAAGTCTTCCAAAACAAATCCTTTGTCAAGTTCACCATCTGGAGAAAACACATACCCTTAAAACCGTATATATGCGTATAGTCATAGGGGGAAAAAACACATCAGGCATTTCTATTACTTTATTAAGACCACAAGAGAACCCTCCTTGACAGCAGTCAGTATAATCACATTGTAAACACAGCCTGTAAATCCCTCTGTGAGACTTTCCTTTTCATCATAGTGAGGGATTGCAGAATGCGCAGAGCAGCAAACAGAGGCGGTGGTGACTGTGCCTAAACACAGACTCCCCTGTGACCTCTATTGTCTCACGTAGTATTAATTTATCACAGGAAGCCATAAGCAAATGCATATTAATTCAAGTTGGTCTATCATGCCATAGGCGACTAGGCCTATAAATCAGATCAAGGAGAAGTGCCTAGCACAGTTTATGGAAAGGGAGAGAGAGAGCCATTGCTGTGCATCATAGTCGTATTCCTTTGTTCTATACATTGTCGGGACACAACCGCTTGTAAAATGATTTTGTGACCATGCATATATATACCTCAATTTTAGCTATTCTCTGGCTTAGAATATCGTGCACAGGTTATTTTACGATATTTTCGTTGTGTTTTTTTTTTTTTTTTCAGGTTTTAGAGCTTGCCAGCTAAGGTGACTATGAACTGTTGTTTTATAGCATAAACTGTGTAAAGATTGTTAAAGTGAGAAAATGACTTTGACTCCAGTGTAATCCAGCTATTAGAGGCCTCTCCCCAAGTGTAGGTCTCAAATAGTGCTCCAAGCTCCTGAAAATTGTTTTCAGATGGAATAGAGAGGTATTTGGGGACGAAAAAGGTCTAACTGTGAGCCTCTGTGGTGGCATGGACCTTCTTGGTTATTTCCAGGGGGTTGATCATGATGTGGAGGCTCTCATGCAATAAATGGCTTCAGAGAGAGCTGGAGATGAGCATCCCCGGAGCGTGGCTCTCCTTAACGACGCCTCCCCTTTCACCTACGGAAATGTTAAGTACGGTCTCGGGAGTACTGAAGCGAAGCGACGTCTGCCTGGCCGTATTTCATGCAGATGGGCAGGTTAAATATGCCAGCCGTGCATCTGATGCCGGGCCATCTTTTTCTCTTCTCCTACCTTAATCTCGCTCTTTGTTATGTCACCCCTTCAATGCTTTTTCTCATTTCTTAGCTTTATCAGGCATGCATTACAAGGGTCTTCTTAAAGGGATAGATCACACTAAAATGAAAATTAAGTCATCATTTACTCACCTTGGTGTTGTTCTGCAGTTTGCAGTTTTTTTTTTTTGGACAACACTTGGATAAAGCATGCACCAAGCATAAAAAAGAGATGCAAAAGTATCACAGAATGGTCAGAATATGTGACACTTGTCGTACATTCCAAGTGTTCTGGTTGTATATGATGTAGGGTTTTGGTGAAAAACAAACTGGAATTTTTGGTAATATGACATTTGACATTTGACAGTCAGAATCCCAGTAAATGTGATAACTTTTTATTGACAAACACAACGGATATTTAGCATTTTATTATTATTCTTAATTTCTTACAATCTTTATATGGACCAGTCGCACAGCCGTGCACAGGAGATCAATGGCCAAGGTCAGGATTTTTATTACATAATTATTTATTTGTTTTTCACTAAACCCTATCGTATAGCATTACAAAGCTTGGAATATGACACGTGTCACATGGAACCATTCTGTGATACCTTTCTGTCTTTTTTAAAAAGCTTTGATGCTGGTCGCTATTCTCACTGCCATTCATTTTATTTTATTTATTCTCCTTTTGTGGTCCAAAAAAGAAAGAAGGGCATATGGTAACACCAGGGTGAGGAAATTATGACTTCATTTTAATTTAAGGGTGATTTAACCCTTAAAGCATTTAGAATGATGGCTCACTGCTGCCTTCTAAAAGTTAATGCATTGGATGATTGTAAATTGTTTGGCTATAGTTCAAAGGGGAAAAAAGGGAAGTACTCAATCTTAAAAATTCGATGAGCCAGAGAATCCATGGAGATCTCTCTCCATATATTATTCCTAGTGTGTCTTTGAGTGTGAAATCCAGACCCATAAAGCAATCTTGAACCATCTCACAGGAATTTTCTTCAGTGCAGTGGCTTCCACTCGACACATACCGAAATATTTTGATGTTTTTTGTATTGATTGGAAAAACTAAGCTTAGCACAGTTCACTTAAAAAAATAAAAAATAAATAAATAACTTTTGCTGATACTCACCCCCATGTCATCCAAGATGCCATGTCATTTTTTCCTCAGTTGAAAATAAATTAAGGTTTTTGATGAAAACATTCCAGAATTTTTCTCCATATAATAGACTTCAATGGGAACAAAAAGGTTCAAGGTCCAAAAGACAGTTTCAGTGCAAACTGTTCAAAGGGCTTTAAATGAGTTCAGACGATGAATAAGGGTCTGGTGCGAGGGAACTGACACCAACGGGGTCTGCACGGAGGTCAAGGAGCAGGTCTATCATGCGATGAAAGTCTTAAATCAGTGATGGATCCAGTATGTCATTGGCATTGACCTAGGAACGTACCTCTGGACCAAAGCCTTCCCAGTCTACCAGATACTGAAGTTGCCCATCTTGACCTCTAGAGTCCTGTAGATGACATACTCTGTAAACCTCCTCACCCTCTAGCAGGGGGTACAGATTGGACAGAGGCTGATTTGAGCAGCGGGACGTGAAAAGTTGACGAGATGGGCATATGTCTGGCAGATCAAGGCAAACAACCCAGGGGTGATTTGACTAATGATCTTGAATGGACCCAAGAATTTCGGACTGAGTTTCTTGCAGGTGTAGACCTCATGTGGATAGCCATACCCATTAGGTTTGGTACTCTGGGCCTGGCCTGCGATGACGGTCAGCCTGTTCCTTGCCACGTCTTACAGCACGCTGGAGATGAGTATGGGCCAGGTTCCAGGTCTCCAGGTTTCCAATCATCCACAGCAGGGACACTGGTGGGCTCACCAGACCAGGGGAACAGAGGCGGTTGAAATCCAATGACGCATTGAAAAGTCATCCCTATAGAGTGCTTGAGTATGGAATTTTGTGCAAATTCAGCCCACATCAGGTAGCGGTACCAATCCTCCTGATGACCGTGGCAGTAGGAATAAAGGAAGTGGGAAATCTCCTGGTTGAGACATTCAACTTGCAAATTGGCCTGGGAATGAGACCCAGAAGTGAGACTCGCATTGATCTGAAGTTTCTCAAAGAAGGCAGTCGAGACACGAGAAGCAAATTGAGGACCTCTGTCAGACACAATATCTTCTGGTAACCCATAAAACCGGAATACAAAGTTATATAGATGTTAAGCCGTCTGCAGAGCTGTGGGCATCTTGGTGAGAAGAATGAGCTGGCATGCTTTAGAGAAGTGGTCAATGACAGTGAGCATGGTGGTCTAACCCTCTGAGGGAGGCGGACCTGTGTGTCCCATTTGGAGCATCACATGGTTTTCTTAGGGTCCAGAGCGCGGACTTTCAAAGTAGGTTTTGAAGGTCTTTGACGTGAATTAACAAAGAAACAATTCAGGCCAAGTTCATCATCAGTCATTTCGATCCTCACAGAACCAGATTATAGAGATCAAATATGCCACACATCCGATTCTAATTAATCATAGTGTGAACAGTCTGGAACATTAACCCATTAGCGTTTGTATGAAGCAGACCAACAACCAAGT